TCTTTGCCATATAATAAACATCTTATTAACCGAGCTAAGTCGGTCTGTATGGGAGAATCTTGACCTCGTTTTGCAAAACTCTAAGGCAAGTTGTTTTGCAAGTTATCACAAGTACAATGCAACTCTTATATCATGGGCTCACAGAAGACGTGGTTGAGTGGTAGCAGGAACACTCCTATACCATTGCGGTTAACGCACCAACAAACGCAGCTTTTCGTTTTCCTTGTTGAACAGGCACTTCCGGTTTAAACGAGCGACAAATTTCTCTTAGTTTACTGATTTTTAATTTACTTAGCTTCCGTGAAGTGACGAGTTCGCAAAGATTGTAATCATCGTACATGACTGGGTTCTTGGGCTGTATGTGCTCCTCTACATTGCGTAAGGTTGCCAGCGCTTCTTCAGCTGCTTCATAGTCTTGCTCGGAAACTGACTGGGCTTCTGAGTTTTCGCATTTTGCCCGCCGTCAAAAGAAACTTTGAATTTGCGTGGAGAACAAAACCTCTTCGTATGAGAATTGTCTCTGACCATCAACATCTCGAGGAATTTCCATTCGTCTTGCCACTGTCACATAGTTTCCTGCAGTAAGTTGAAAACGCTTGCAAAATGCGTATACTTGTAATTAGGGAAGTACCCGTTAGAAACGTTATAGTGGGGTATATACCAAAAGCAAAAATAAAAACTTTGAGCAAGGCAGAATTGCGCAAAAAAGTCATGCACAGCGATCAGCCCAGGCAAAATTCCCTGTCGCATTGGAGAGTAGGTACGATCGAGAAAAAAGAAAAAAAATAGAAAAAGAAACGTGGTCACCCTCAGTGTAATAAGTCGTATCGTACTCTTCTATTGGTCCGCTTAGTTTGNAAAAAAGAAAGAAAAAAGAAAAAGAAACGTGGTCACCCTCAGTGTAATAAGTCGTATCGTACTCTTCTATTGGTCCGCTTAGTTTGATTCTTCATGTCAACTATGTGAACGGCAGGATGTTCTTTCCCCAGACGAAGATTATCCATTCGAGAATATTCCGCTTCAAGTCACTTCCCAGCTTAGAACCCAGATTACCGGGCGCTAAGGATAAGTCCTATTTTCTAGAAACCGTCGATACAGCGGGTATAGAACATCAAATTATGGGGCGAAAATGTTTACAATGAAATAGATAAGTAATTAGAATCAGTACCTGCTCTTGCCCTGAATTTCGCTTTTAAGCGAAGCATCGATAACGTTGAAACCTTTGAGATGTGGCCTTATATCTCTGGTGCATTGTGAAAGCGATACACACTCGCTTGATGCTATGCTTTGTCCGCAGCTGTCCGTAACAAACTTTGAAAACCCACATTTAACCATTGTTACGTCATCTTTGTGTCGATGAAAGCCATTCAGAACTGGAAATCGATGAGCAAATCAAAAGCTCGGAAATGAAAATCAAGAAGCACAAGTTTACATTGAATCTCTACGAGCAATTCAGTTATCAAGTAATCAGTTTGAGCTCAACTTTTGTTCTGTTACACTTTTAAAAGCAAAAACGCTTCTGAGGTACGCTGAGGGTACGGATAATATTTCTAAAGAAATAAAGATAGAAATAAAATAAAACCACTTACCTTAATTCAGACTACAGCAAGGAAACTTCACCCTGTTCACGGTAGGATTGGGTGAATAAACTTAGGCCCAGTTCAGACGCCGAACTTTTCATGAG